AGATGAGACAAGTCAGAATTGCAAATGAAGCGGGGATTTAAATTTTCCCCGCTTCATTTGTATAAACATGGCTGCTGCTTTTTTCCGGCTCTGGGCTTTGCCGGAGAAAAGCGCCAGTCTAGACGGGATCTTTTGGAAAATAAAGCCTTTTCCGGAAGATCCCTTATTCCTCTCAAAATCAGTTTTTTAAATCTTCCCTCATAGCTCATGTTTTCTATATCTTTAGTCATTTTTGTTGCTCTTCTCTGGACCTCCGCCAAGTTCTCCACATCTTTCCTGAAATGTGGGGCCCAGAACTGGACACAAGACTTCAGCTGAGGCCTAACCAGTGCAGAGCGGAATAAGGGAATGCTTCCTCGTGTCTTGCTCACAATGCTGTTGGTGATACATCCCAGAATTACATGGGACGGGGCCAGTTGCAACAGTTAAAGCATGAACTCACATTAGCTTGTGGTCCACTATAACCCTCAGATTCCTTTCCCCACTGCTCTTCCCTAGCCTGTCATTTCCCATTTTGTTTGTGTGCAACTGATTGTTCCTTCCTCCCTAAGTGGAGCACTTTGCATTTGTCCTTCTTGCATTTCATCCCATTGACCTCAGACCCTTTCTCCAGTTGGTCTGGATCAGTTTGACTTATGACCTTCTCCTGCGAAGCCCTGGCAACCCCTCCCAGCTTTGGATCATCCACAGACTTTATAAGTGTGTCCCTGTGCGAACAAGACTGGACCTAGAACTGATCCCAGCAGGATCCTGCTCGATATGCCCTTCCAGCTTGACGGTGAACCACCAGGAACCCCTCTCTGGGACCAATCTCTAACCAGTTATACACACACCATAGAGCAGTTCCACTAGGTTGGATTTCCCTAGTTTGTTTATGAGAAGACCATGTGAGACAGTACCAAATGCCTTATTAAAGTTGAGATAGGCCACATCTACTGCTTCCTCCCATCCACAAAGCTTGTTACCCTGCCAAAGCTATTAGCTTGGTTTGATGTGAGTTGTTCTTTATTTCCGTGCTGCTAGTTATCACCTTATTATCTTCTAGATGTTTGCAAATTGATTGCTTCATTATTTGCTCCATTCTCTTTCTGAGGTTACTGAAAAACTAAAATTAAGCTGCCTGGTCTTTTCCCTTTCTTACTGATTGGCACTAGATTTGCCCTTTTCTATCGGTCTGCAATCTTTCCCACCTGCCCTCACTTTACAGAGACTTGCTAATGGCTCAGATGTCTCTTCAGTTGGTTCCTTTAGCGTTCTAGGATGGATTTCATCAGGCCCTGGTGACTTGAAGACATCCAACGTGTCTAAGAAACGTTTAACTTCTCCTAGGTTCGCCTCTTACCCCGCCCATTTTCCCTGGCACTCGCAATGTTAGGTGTCCAACCGAAACAATAGTCCTTAGCACGTCTGCCATGTCCACATTTTCTCTGAATTTCCTCTCTGCAAATCCAGGCACTACCACTGACCTTGGCCACAGAGCCTGCAGCTACCAGGGTCCAGTTTGGGCTCTGCTCTCAGCTACACGTCTTGGTTCCAGACTCCAGTGCATTTGGAGCCCTGCCCATGGCTGATTCCCTGCCATACACACAGACAGGGCGTATGAGCAGTGGGGAGCCAGTGCAGCAGCCACACTGTCACGAGTCGAGGTTGTAACCCACTGCCAGCAGCTCCTGCAGGCTTGGTGTGGTGGTGCTCTGGTGTTACTGGGTTACCTGTGTTGTGGGTGGCAGGAGAACGATTCAAAGCGCAGCCGGGCACTGCACAAGGCGAAGGAGCAACGGGAGCAGGTGGCGCAGAAGAACGTGGAGGCCTTGCAGTTACGCCAGGAGGTGATCCAGCTGCTTCGGGAGAGGAACAGGCTGCAGCGGTGCCTGGAAGCCCATGCTGTCTTCCAGAGCTATCTCCAGGGGGTGCTGGAGAAGACAGAGCAGGTGGGGGGATTCTGCAGGGAGATGCTGGGGGTGGGTCCGGTGGGGGGCCCTCTGCCAACTCTCCCATTGTCCAATTCTTACCTGAGCCCTGCCCAGCTCTGCACTGACCCATCCTCAGCTATTGCCACTCCCAGTGCTGGGCACCGCCTGCCCATGCTCCATCCCTCCCCCACTGAGAAGTGCAGGAACTCCCTCTCCTAGGTTCCCACACCCGTCTCCCCTGGATCACTGCTGCTGCCAAGTCCTAGGCCACAGCTCCCATCTCCCTCGACCCCCCCAGGGCCACGGCATCCGTCACTCCCGCCTCCCCGCCGCCCTGGCCCTCTGCCGGAGCCCCAACAAGTGCCTGGCCCCTCCAGGCACCTCCCAGCCACTCTCTGCAAGGGGGATGCAGCAGGTTCTGGCTCAGACCCTGATGACCCACGGGGACCTGGCCACTGCACCCAGAGCTGCTGGAGGAGATGCCGGTGCAGCAGTGGTTGGAGGTGGGGCTGGCAGGGAAGGAAGGATCACAAGGGGGAGGGGGCAGGCAGGCCCCTGGTCTGCAGTGGAGAAGCTGGCAGCATGACAGCCCTGCTGACCCCTAAAGAACCGGTCCCCAGGCTGCAGGCCTGCTCTGTACTGATGAGCACCCCTCCCCGCATCCCGGCTCAGTTTCAGGAGACGCGGGCGCTGATCAGCCATGCCAGGACCCTGGCTGCCACCCGCGCAGCCCTGCTGCAGCGGGACCAGGGGGGCCGGGAGGCGATGGAGGAGGCACGTGCCCAGCTGCAGCAGTACCTGGAGCAGAGCCGCAGCAAGGTCATGCAGCTCAACAACCAGCTAGCTGTGCTGCAGGCCCAGCGGGAGCAGGCCCGGGCCAAGGTGCACCAGTGGGTGAGTGGGGAGCATGTAGCGCTCCAGTCTGCCGGGGCAGAGGGGTGCAGGCCCGGTCGGATGCTCCACCGGCCCTGTGAAGCTGGGGTCTGGGAAGTTCTCTAGAGGCTCCTTCAGCCTTTTGGGGTGAGGACACGTGGCCAAGCGGCAGTGTGCTGCAGGCCCAGCGGGAGCAGGCCCGGGCCAAGGTGCACCAGTGGGTGAGTGGGGAGCATGTAGCGCTCCAGTCTGCCGGGGCAGAGGGGTGCAGGCCCGGTCGGATGCTCCACCGGCCCTGTGAAGCTGGGGTCTGGGAAGTTCTCTAGAGGCTCCTTCAGCCTTTTGGGGTGAGGACACGTGGCCAAGCGGCAGGGGCCTCAGTCCTCTTCCGTGACCCTCACCCGCCACCCGGATGGGCCCTGGCTGCACCTACAGGTTGGACCTCCCTGGCCCAGCACCCTCCCCTCGGGACCTGGAGGAGGGATTTGGCCAGACCAGGGAAGGTCATTTCTGGTCCATCCCCCCACACCTTGCTGGGCAGCCCCCCTGCCGCCATGCCTCAGGCTCCCACAGGGCTCCCAGGCACCAGCCCTCCGCCAGATCTCTCTGGTCCTGCAACAGCCATGGTGTGAGTTTCAACCTGCACCGCATTGCCCCACCCTGAGCTGGAGAGGCGCCACCCTTCCCCAGCCACACACCACGGATGGGGAGGCCGTGTGGAACCGCTCCTGCCCCCCACAGAACGTGGCAGCGAGGCTGGAGAGGGCTGAGTGACCTGGGCCCAGTCCCTGATGGAGGACGCCAGACTCGCCCCAGCCACATGCTGGTAACTCCTGCTCTAGCGAGCAGGGTGCCGAGGGAGCAGGCATGGCCAGGGACAAGGACTCGCACTTCAGCCAGGCCTCCAAGCTGCACCAGCCATCAATCCACTCGCCCAAGGCAGGTGCCTCATCCCAGCCCTGGTGCATGGAGATGGCTGGGCAGGTGCCACCGCTCCAGGAAGGGAGCCAAGGGCCCTCCTGCACAGTCTGGAGAAGTGTGTGGCCAGGACAGGAAGCCGGGGGGCACCCCTAGCCCTGCACTCCCACCCCCTGCAGGAATCCAAGTGGACCGAGATCCAGAGCACGGCTGCCAGGAAGACCCTGCAGCTGGGGCAGATCAGGATGGCCACCCTGAACCTCTTCCAGCTCCCGCTGAAGCGACCGAGATCCAGAGCACGGCTGCCAGGAAGACCCTGCAGCTGGGGCAGATCAGGATGGCCACCCTGAACCTCTTCCAGCTGGCGCTGAAGCAGATGAAGCTGCCGGTGAACGTCCCCCTGGAGGACACGGAAACCCAGCTTGACGTGGTCAGTGGGGCAGCCCCCCGCTGCGAGGGCTCGCTCCGGGCCCCGGAACACGCCTAGGCTGGCCCCGCAGGAGCCAGTACTCCCTCTCGTGCCCCTCCCGAGGCAGGACAGGTTCCTGTACCTGAGGCCATTATGCCGGGGGGGGCCCTTTTATTATAGCAGCCTGCTCTTGCACTGGAGGAACTGGGATTTCCCCTTTAAAGCAGGGCTGGGGACCTGTGGCGGCCCTTTGGCTGGCCGGTGAAGCTCACCCCCCCCCCGGCCCAGCGCTAGGGCCCCTGCATGGGCAGTTCTGCGCTTGCCAAGGCTTTCCCCCCACCCCTCCCATTAGCTGGTCACTTGTCTCCCCCCACCCCAGCAGCTGCCAGGTAAGCACCTCAGTCCCCTGCTTCCCCCACCTCTATGCCCCAGCCAGCTCACACCGACTAGCTCCGGTTCCCATTCGTCTGGCCCTGGGGAAGCCCTGAGTTTGGGCATCTCCCCCGCAGGAACCCTGGCCCCCTGCACTACATGAGTGAGGCGGGATCCAGGTGAGGCCTTTCCAAAGAACCTTGCTCTGCCTCCATCAGGTCCAGCTCTGCCTGCTCGACCTGGCTGACATCCTTGCTGACCTCCGCAAAGGGGAGCCTGCATCTGCCAGCCAGCCCTCGCCGGCTGCCACCAGCTAAGCCCTGCAGCAGCCTCCCCGCTCAGCCCCTGCTGTGAGTTGGCTGCAGGGGCTGGCTTTGGGCAGTTGCTTTACATCCTCTGCCCCTGGACACTGCATTACAACAGCTGATTTCCAGGGGACCAAGCCCCATTGTAGCACTGACTCCCTATTCCCCCCGTCACCTACAATTCCTGCCCCAAGGAGTTTACCCTGCACCAGCCCAGAAAGCCTGAGCCAGGCAGGAATGAATGCAGCATTTCCCCACCAAGACTTGCCAATGTGGCCAGTGGCTGGGGAGGGTGCCACCACCCTAAGCATCCATTAGAGCCAGTAAAAGGCTCGGCGAGTCCCCCCAAATCCACGGTGGGGAAAGCCTCCAGGACTGGGAGCCAGTGTCTGCAGTGAAACGCCGGGGAACTGAACTGGGCCAAGGGGCACTAGCGGGCTGTAGGGTTCAGGCCACAGAGCCAAGATCCAGGCCGAGCCTGAGGAGCGCTAACCATGCTTGTAAATGCCGAGGAGTCCTGCAGCACCTTATAAACTAAGGTGGTAACCTAGCCAGGTACCATGCTTGTGTACCTGGCCCTAAAGTCTGGGTCTCCCCTCACCCTGCACACCAGACCCAAGCCTAGCCATGTCCAGCCCTGGAGTGGGCGTAGGGTAGTCAAGACTTAAGCTAGGTAAGCCCAATAGCAGTACGACAGCAGAACTGGCAGCAGCTTCCCCTGTGCTACAGCACCCATTTGTTTTCTGTTCCAGGCTCCATGGCCTTGCGCCAACAGCAACCAGACCCGTCACAGCAGCTGCCCCGCCGCGTAATGGCACCTGCAGCCTTTGCGGATGCTCTCAACTTCTGTAGACAACATTCCTCGTCACCTGGACAGCCCCAAGTATCCAAACTCTGCTGACGTGCCTGGGACAGAAATCTCTGCTCCTCCGCTATTGCCAGTTATCAGTTCTGCCTTCTGCTGCACCAAGCACCCGAGGTCTGGAGTCTTCCAACCTTCTTCAGTAAGACCAGGCACAGCCCCTCTAGAGCAAGTGCTTGACTCCCTCCTTGAGCAATGCAGGTGTTAAGTAGCAGGTGCCTGACCCTGGAGAAGAGGTTACTTCTTCAGGGCCTGGATTTAATGAAACAACACTCCAAAATGCAAACTGACTGCATGCACTCACAACAGCGGGGCTCATCAAGCTAGACTGGGTGGGTTTCTCCAGCCAGATATGCCCTGAGCTCAGTGGCTGTTGTATCTGCACTGCATGCACAGCAAGGAGATCGAAAGCCCAGAGAAATAATTGTTCAGTGGAATAAAAAAGCACAGTCCGTTAGTTACATTGGCTGTGATACAAAGCTTAGTTCAATTTAGGCTGAAAAAAAGGCAAGACAACTTTTAAAAGCAAATCCTGCTCTGCTCACAATGTGTGTCCTGCATACTGCCCCCCAGGCCTTAGCAGGACAGAACGGCAGAGGGGACCCAGGAAACATTTAAAACTCAAGCGAGTGAAGTGTTCTCCCTGCACACGAGTGGCTCAGGGATCCCACATGCCGCCTCTTGCACGGGACTGAAATATCTCTCTCTAACTGCTCTATTTGCTACCCATTGCACCTTTATTCATTTGCCTTTGGGAGATCTGCCATCTTTTTATGTACGCAGAACTCCCTAGATGGAGTTCAGGAGACAAACACTCCCTGCTGTGCCGCGGAAAGCATCTGGGCAGGTTCTCAGCCTTGGGGGCATGGTGGGCTGTGTGATCATGTATTCACCGACTCAGCTGATTGGGATGGTGATGTAACCCAGGTCCCTGCTTGTAGCATTGGCTTTTCTTTCTGCCTCACACACAGCTGACGCAATTGGGAAGGAATGGTGGAACAGGCAACAGGGAACTAAACTGGCATGGTACCCTGCTACTGCTGCCATCAAAGGTCACGTGGCAGCTCGGATCAGCAACACGTTACCTCAGGAGGAAATGCAGAGAGAAAAATCTCTCAATACCTTAAACGTCTGCTTCTTGGAGCAGCTGGTACAGGAATCCACAAGGGGAGAAGTAATTCTCGATGTAGTCCTGAGTGGAGCGCAGGATCTGGTCCAAGGGGTAACTATAACAGGACCACTGGGAAATAGTGACCATAATATAATAACATTCAACATTCCTATGCTGGGAAGAACCCCTCAGCAGCCCAACACTGTGGCATTTAATTTCAAAATGGGGAACTGTGCAAAAACGAGGAGGTTAGTTAAACAGAAATTAAAAGGCACAGGGACTAAAGTAAAATCCCTGCAAGCTGCACGGACACTCTTCAAAGGCACCATAATAGAGGCTCAACTTAAATGTTTACCCCAAATTAAAAAAGGCAGTAAAAAAACTAAAAAAGAGACACCAAGGCTTAACCATGTAAAAGAAGCAGAAAGATAAAAAGGTATCTTTTTAAAAGTGGAAGTCAAATCCTAGTGAGGAAAATAGAAAGAAGCATAAACACTGCCAAATTAAGTGTAAAAAGGTAATAAGAAAAGCCAAAAGGGAGTTTGAAGAACATCAAGCCCAAAACTCAAAAGGTAATAAAATGTTTAAGTACATCAGAAGTAGGAAGCCGGCTAAATAGCCAGTGGGGCCCTTGGATGATCAAGATACAAAAGGACACTTAAAGACAATAAAGTCATTGCGGAGAAACTAAATAAAATCTTTGCTTCAGTCTTCATGGCTGAGGATGTTAGGGAGATTCCCAAACCTGACCCGTCCTTTGTAGGTGACATCTGAGGAATTGTTCCAAATTGAGGTGCCATTGGAGGAGGTTTTGGAACAAACTGATAAACTTAACAGTGACAAGTCACTAGGGCCGAATGGCATTCACCCAAGAGTTCTGAAAACTCAAATGTGAAATTGAGAAACTATTAACTATGGTTTGTAGCCTATCCTTTAAATCAGCTTCTGTACCCAATGACTGGAAGATAGCTAATGTAACACCAATATTTAAAAAGGGCTCTAGAGGCGATCCCAGCAATTACAGACCAGTAAGTCTAACATTGGTACCGGGCAAATTAGTTGAAACTATAGTAAAGAATAAAATTGTCAGACACATAGAAGAACATAATTTGTTGGGCAAAAGTCAACATGGTTTCTGTAAAGGGAAATCATGTCTTACTAATCTATTAGAGTTCTTTGAAGGGGTCAAACAAACATGGACAAGGGGGAATCGAGTAGACATAGTGTACTTAGATTTCCAGAAAGCCTTTGACAAGGTCCTTCACCAACGGCTCTTAAGTAAATTAAGTTGTCATGGGATAAGAGGGAAGGTCCTTTCATGGACTGAGAACTGTTAAAAGACAGGAAACAAAGGGTAGGAATAAATGGTAAATTGTCAGAATGGAGAGAGGTAACTAGTGGTGTCCCCCAAGGGTCAGTCCTAGGACCAATCCTATTCAACTTATTCATAAATGATCTGGAAAAAGGGGTAAACTGAGGTGGCAAAATTTGCAGACAATACTAAAGTGCTCAAGATAGTTAAGACCGAAGCAGACTGTGAAGAACTTCAAAAAGATCTCACCAAACTAAGTGATTGGGCAACAAAATAGCAAATGAAATGTAATGTGGATAAATGTAAAGTAATGCACATTGGAAAAAATAACCCCAACTATACGTACAGTATGATGGGGGCTAATGTAGCTACAACTAATCAGGAAAAAGACCTTTGAGTCATTGTGGATCGTTCTCTGAAGACGTCCACGCAGTGTACAGGGGCAGTCAAAAAAGCAAACAGGATGTGAGGAATCATTAACAAAGGGATAATGGGCGCCTGTTCTCACCTCCCGCCCCCTGGGCGCCTGTTCTCACCTCCAGCAACGCCACAAGCCGTGGTCAGCTACCGGAGCCGCTTCTGCGCTCCGACCGCCGCCTGGGCGTCTGTTCTCCCCCCCAGCAACGCCACAAGCCGTGGTCAGCTACCGGAGCCGCTTCTGCGCTCCGACCGCCGCCTGGGCGTCTGTTCTCCCCCCCAGCAACGCCACAAGCCGTGGTCAGCTACCGGAGCCGCTTCTGCGCTCCGACCGCCGCCTGGGCGTCTGTTCTCCCCCCCAGCAACGCCACAAGCCGTGGTCAGCTACCGGAGCCGCTTCTGCGCTCCGACCGCCGCCTGGGCGTCTGTTCTCCCCCCCAGCAACGCCACAAGCCGTGGTCAGCTACCGGAGCCGCTTCTGCGCTCCGACCGCCGCCTGGGCGTCTGTTCTCCCCCCCAGCAACGCCACAAGCCGTGGTCAGCTACCGGAGCCGCTTCTGCGCTCCGACCGCCGCCTGGGCGTCTGTTCTCACCTCCAGCAACGCCACAAGCCGTGGTCAGCTACCGGAGCCGCTTCTGCGCTCAGCCCGCCCCCTGGGCACCTGTTCTCACCTCCTGCCCCCTGGGTGCCTGTTCTCACCTCCAGCAATGCCACAAGCCGTGGTCAGCTACCGGAGCCGCTTCTACGCTCAGCCTGCCCTCTGGGCGCCTGTTCTCCCCTCCAGCAACGCCACAAGCCGTGGTCAGCTACCGGAGCCGCTTCTACGCTCAGCCTGCCCTCTGGGCGCCTGTTCTCCCCTCCAGCAACGCCACAAGCCGTGGTCAGCTACCGGAGCCGCTTCTACGCTCAGCCTGCCCTCTGGGCGCCTGTTCTCCCCTCCAGCAACGCCACAAGCCGTGGTCAGCTACCGGAGCCGCTTCTACGCTCAGCCTGCCCTCTGGGCGCCTGTTCTCCCCTCCAGCAACGCCACAAGCCGTGGTCAGCTACCGGAGCCGCTTCTACGCTCAGCCTGCCCTCTGGGCGCCTGTTCTCCCCTCCAGCAACGCCACAAGCCGTGGTCAGCTACCGGAGCCGCTTCTACGCTCAGCCTGCCCTCTGGGCGCCTGTTCTCCCCTCCAGCAACGCCACAAGCCGTGGTCAGCTACCGGAGCCGCTTCTACGCTCAGCCTGCCCTCTGGGCGCCTGTTCTCCCCTCCAGCAACGCCACAAGCCGTGGTCAGCTACCGGAGCCGCTTCTACGCTCAGCCTGCCCTCTGGGCGCCTGTTCTCCCCTCCAGCAACGCCACAAGCCGTGGTCAGCTACCGGAGCCGCTTCTACGCTCAGCCTGCCCTCTGGGCGCCTGTTCTCCCCTCCAGCAACGCCACAAGCCGTGGTCAGCTACCGGAGCCGCTTCTACGCTCAGCCTGCCCTCTGGGCGCCTGTTCTCCCCTCCAGCAACGCCACAAGCCGTGGTCAGCTACCGGAGCCGCTTCTACGCTCAGCCTGCCCTCTGGGCGCCTGTTCTCCCCTCCAGCAACGCCACAAGCCGTGGTCAGCTACCGGAGCCGCTTCTGCGTTCCCAGCAGCAAGGGCTCCTGAGAGGCAGTGGAAGCACTGGCCTGGCAGGCTGGAGACCCAACTCATTGCTTTCTCACTATGCCTTCCCATATATCTTGGCTGGGGACTTCCAGGAGGCACTGATTAAAGAGAAAGGCAGTCCTCCCCCTCCCCCAAAAGCCAGCAGCTCCCTCCAGTTCCCCCTGCCTCTGGGCTCACTTGGGACAAACATCCAACAAACTGAAAAACAACCAGAGCATCATTTAATGTCCCCTGCCCAGATGAGTGAGTCTGAGAGGGCAGTGGCTCACCATCAGCCCCTTGCTCAGGTCGGGCCTGCGGCCCTCCCACACTCCAGCTTTTACATCCTCTTCCTCATTTTCCCCTTCTTGGCAGTGCCACGGCCGAACGCTGCCCTGCGTAGGTCCTGCACCCGCTGCCGGTTCTTGGCTTTCAGCTGCCTCAGGCCGCCCTTCTGCAGAAAGTTCTGCTTGACCACCCTCTTCCTCTGCTTCAGGATCTGCTGCTTGCTCTTCAGCTCGGACCGCCCCTTTCCCTGCTGGGGGCCATGCTTTTCTGGGGTGCGGGGCAGCCGCTGGCCTCCTGGGGGGGGAGCAAGTTACTCAGAGCCCTCTGCAGGCATTCTCCCACTGCTCAGTCCCCACACCCGCCCCAAGGCCAGGGGGCCAGGCGGAGACTGAGCTCGAGATCCACGCCACAGAGCGCAGCCCTGTGGCGAAAACAGCAACACTGACCTGCATATCAGCCACCCCTCAGGTCTCCACCCCCGGGACCGGCCGTGGCCCTGATCCTAGGCACTCACCTCTGCTCCTGCGGTGCATCCCACCTCTTGGCTCACTCGCCACCTCTTCCTCAGAGTCCCGCTCCTCCACTTTGTATTTCTTCTTCCAGTTCTCGTAGCTGGGACGGCGAGCTAAGGGGGGCTAAGCCTCCACAATGTCTGCTCGCCTGAACGCCCCAGCTCCCCCAGCCTTTTGAGGAAGAGGGCCCTGAGGGCTGGGCTGGCAGTCGCGCGCTCTCTGCCCTGGTTTGCCCCTTGGCAGGCCAAGCCCCGAGCAGTGGGATCACCAGCTGCAAGGCTCAGCCTCCCCTGCCAAGCAGCCACAGAAGCGCTCAGCCCCTTGCTGCTGAACACAGCTCCCTGCCACGCAGACACGCGCCCTGTGCCGTCACCGCAGGGCCCTGCGCTCAGGAAGCGCTGGGAGGGCAGAGGGCAAGAGCCCCTTGGGCACAGCTGGACACCCGCGCCCCCTCTCAAGGCAGGAAGGATACAGGTTTTTCTTGTAAGAGCCACTGATGCGCCTGCCACTCTCGGTGCAGATTTTCTTCTTCTCCTCTTGGCCAGTTTTGCTCACAAACCGCTTCTTCTTGCGGTCCCTGCATGGGGCAGGGCAGCAGGGTGGAATGGGGCTCCCTGGCTCAGCTCAGCCCCACCCAGGAGACTGAGCACTCCTCCCTCCAGCCCCCGGGTCACAAGTAACAATGCCCCAGCCCCAAGAGGCACTAGTGCCGCGGGCGAGGGGCGCCAGGCCAGGAACTTACCAGCGGAGCAGCTGTGTGCTCTTGTTCATGCTGTGGGTCTCGTCCCCCAGCAGGTCGAGCATGGCGCCAGAAGCCTGCTGCTCGAAGGCGCTGCTCTCTCCACCAACGCTCAGCCTGCACGTGGGGGAAAGGCAGAGGTCAGACAGGTCTGGGGAGCGGGGAGACGCAGGGGTCCTGCAGCTGGCGAAGTGGCTCACCCCCGCTCGCTCTCCAAGTCCTTGGGCTGGTATGGGATTGCCGCTTCCGCTTCCTGCCCACCACAGAGGCAAACCCCTCCTGGGACAGGCAGGCCAGAGAGAAGGGCCACTTAGCCAGCAGAGGCCCAGCCCCCATCCCAGCACAGACTCTGACTGCCCCATGGACCTCAGGCAGGCCCTGGTGCAGACGTGGTCCGCAGGCTGGCAATGCCCACGTCCGCACAGTCCTGGCGCCCGAAGGCCATACCCAGAGGTCTCCTTCCTCCTCTGCAGGGGCGGGAGCTGCTGGGTCCCGGCCTCGCAGCGCAGCCCCAGCCCGCCTCTCTTGCTGCTCCCTCCGGTACTTGGTGACAAGGCTGCGGTCGCGGCTCCGCTTGGCGCGCATCACGTTGCTGGCCAGGGTCTTGCTGGTGGCGTTGATCTCAAAGATGGTCTGGTCCGAGAGAAGCCGTGAGCACTGCTTGCCCAGGGCCCTCCCCCGCCCTCCTGGGGCTCCGCTTGGAGCCCAAGGGCGAAAGGGAGGCAGCAGGGAGGGGTCTTCCCAGCACTGAGAGCGCCGAGCCCCAGCTCCCTTGCAGCTGCATCTCAGCGGAGGGGCAGCACCCATAGGGCACAGCCTTCCCCCACCGAGCTCAGGCACAGCACCTCAGGGCACCCTGGCGGGGTCACGGGCGCTGCCATGAGGCAGCACTGCTGGCCGCTCGGTCCCCGCGAGGCAGTGCTCCGG